GTCCCATTTCTCTTGTTACGGTAACTTTTCATGAGAAAGTGTCCAGAGTAGTTAGCGGCAGAGTTTTTACAGCTTTTTGACACGAGGCAACAGAGAAGGCCACTGTGCTGAAGTTCTCAGTGTGTTCTATATTTGCTTGATGGATGGTGGCAGTGTGTAGTGGGGACAGGCTGCAGCTCTAATGGGTCTCAGAGGAACTTAATCAGCCTTTCCCACTGCACAGAGTGAGAATAAATAAGAGCGTGGACATCTCTGAGCCGGAGGTCTGAGGGGAAAGAGCTGACTGCAACAGGGACAGCAGCACTTTTACACAGACAATGAGGTTAACAGTTATGATCATGAAATATCTTGTCGATTCCAGGATTTTGTCAACACTTGTGATGTATGATTATGTAGATTTAAGTTTTTACTGAGAAGGTAACCCACACTGCAAAATATATTGTTAATATCTGATTTGTAAAACGTGAACATTAAACAAACAATGGATAACTGTCCAATATAGAGTTCAGAGGAAGAAATATTAGAGCAAGAGTCTCCAACTTTTTTCCTCTGGTGAGCTACCTTTACAAAATGAAAATTCCAGAGAGCTACTAATGTTAGCAGTCACAAGAAATTGAGTGTATATAAGAGATGCAACAAGCTATGGATGAGGTACAGTTAGATGCCTATAAAACATAAACCTTTATTCATTAGCAAGGACCACGCCAACAACGACATAGTGTGAAGAAGAGTTTATCAAAGTTTATTGATAATGTACAAGGCGTGGCGGAGCTGGCTGGGTTGAGACTCTAGGTGTGGGCTCCTTCTCAATCTTCAACTGACCCGGGACCCCCCTCGTAGCCATCTTATGACTGAAAGACAAACAATATAGGGGGTGGGAGGGTGGGGTCGAGTTAGACGAGATAAACTGGGATGATGGGAAAGGCTGCTACAAATAGGCTTCTGGGAAATTAAAGGCGTGGTCGAAGTGAGTTGTGGTTTGCTGGTGAGAGGAGAGGGCAGCTGAGGCGTGGTCCTGCTCCTGAATCTCAGTCAATCATATTACTACATACTACACTTCAATTATTAGTGCACAAAGTTAGACATCACAATTATACATTTACAATGGTAATGGTCATTTAATTAATCGAATTTAGTTATACAGCACAATAAGTATGATTCATAAATCCTTTGAGGAGCTCTTTGGAGGGGGGTGGAGAGCTACTGGTAAGTCCCGAGCTGCAGGTTGGAGATTCCTATACTAGAGGAATACGCTTTTACTGACTTTACTGTGCTTTTTTGGACACTCAAACTAATAGGAAGTAACACTGTTATTGTGGGGGAAATGCCAGTTTGTACAGGTGAGTTTTAATAGCAATTTAAAGTGCTGCAGTGGGTCCAAGTTCCTGATGGATTGTGGGAGTGAGGGGGCAGCGGCAGCGAAGGTTCGGTCCCCCAAGGTCCTGTGCTTTGTCCTGATGATGGGAGCGAGGAGGTTAGTGTCGGCGGATCTGAGGCGGCGTGTGGGAGAGTGAAGACGGATGATATCAGGAAATCCAACCAGCGGCTTGAGAAAGTTGGTCTGAAGGACAGCGAAGAGGCACTCATCCCGGCTGCATGGGAGCAAACCTTGAGCACCAGAGCAAAAAGAGGCCCGGTGGATGGAATGGACTGCCCTGTCAAAATGAGCTACCCGCCTAAATCGACAATGAAATCTATCAATTCACGCTACCCGGTCAAAATAAGCTACTTTACATTTTTCTGTGTACAGTTGTATAGATCCAATAAAGCGAACCTCCCAAGTTTGATAACATATTTCTTTGGATTATAGACAGCGGGTTTGATGCTGTTTGTACACGATGATTATACTATATACCTTAGTTATGTACAATTTCATCTCATTTATATGAATATACCTAGGTAGTTCATTTGGACAGTCGTATCCTGCTCAAAAAGGGCTCTGACTAAAGGGAACTAACTAAATGCTCCCACTGTAGAATCACCATTATTCACTCATTTACATGAATTTGGGTAGAGGAAGCTCATTTTGACAGGCCTATATCGGACATTGGATCCACCACAATAGACAAGACCCAAGGTGTAGGCTGTGTAAAGAGGCTCCTGAGACAGTCCAGCACAGAACTGCAGGGTGCTGGCAGGGAAAGCAGACATGGAGCAACATAACCAAGTGGCTGGCATAGTACAGAAACATCTGTGCAGAGTACGGGCTGGAGACTCCAAGGTCACGGTGGGAAACTTCTTCAAAGGCAGAGGAGAATGACCGAGCCAAGATCCATATAGACTGACGTAAAGGTGATGGCGAACTAACCGGACATAGTAGTGGTGGATAAGTAACAGAATAAAGTCGCTGTGGTGGACATCGCAAGACCAGGCATCAAGAAAAAGAAACACAAAGCACTGCTAGAGGGCCTGATCTATGTTATAATGTTGTTTTCCCATCAAAAACATACCTGGAGTTGTGTTTTGTTTCATTCACACATGTTTAACACACAAACCCTGAATATTTAGGGTCCACCTTGTGATGTCACATAGTAATATAGGTAGTAATAACTCATCTGGAATCATTTGGATGATTTCAGTGTGGAATTACCTCCACAAAAAACATATAACATGGCACAAAGCTCACAAGAGTGAATTTTGCATAATATAGGACCTTTAACGATTCCAGTTGTACTAAACAAAGCCAAGCAAACGTAAAAATTTAAACCCAAACAAATAACCTGGCAAACGAAACACATCAATAACCATGTCACTACTGGAAAATATCAAGCTTCTCTCTCCACGTCCTCACTTCACCTATCTGCGGTCATAACCCTTCCTAATATATTATCGTTTTATTGCCTGACAGAGAATAGTGTTCCAAGCATTTATGCACCCACACTACTGGAACACCACACGCCTGTAAATGTGCTGCTGCTGGAGACAGAGTGTGTGTGGACCAAATGCAGGTCTGGTGTGGATCTTCACTGCTCCCATCTGGAACACTGCGTCTACAGTCACCTCAATTTTCACTGCACACAGCTGCTTCCTCCACTGAAAAGTCCAAGCTGTCACAACGCTGAAAATGTTACCTCCGAGTGATTTTCTTAATATTTAAAGGGCTCATATTATGCTATTTACTGATCTATGTTATAATGTTGTTTCCTCATCACAAACACACTCTCTCCTTCACTAGAATCATTTGGAATATTTCAGCCCTTGCAAAAGATAAAAGGTAGGTGTTAACTTGAAAATTACCGCTTCATGACATCACAAGGTGGAACAGAGCATTCTGAGCATATGTAGACTAATAATAAATGGTTACTCAAACGTGTGAATGGATTGAAACACAACTCCATGTATATTTTTAAGGAAGTAACCACTTTCTAACATGACTTAAAGGTCACAAGAATTCATTTTACATAATGTAGGACCTTTAATGCTTCATGTTTGCTTGTGGATTATAATTCCTGCCAATGTAATATTCTTTGAAAAACAGAGCTTTCAATAGCTTCAGAGTCCTATCATGCCGTTTTGAAGTACAGACACAATATTACAGCCTCCACAGCGCCTGAATTGTATGATTAATGTGCCAGGGACCTTTTTTGGGTCTCTCAGGGTAACCACCAGGGTCTGTGTAAATGCTTTAGAGTCCCATAATGTGATAAATACTTTGGGGTGGAGCTGGTGGTCACAGTGGAGAGGGAAGGCTCAGAGGGTCATTTTGGGGAGGCATTGTTCTGTTTGTGACTGTCACAGAAGAAGCAGCTGTGCTGAGTTTAAACAGGGAGATGTGGTGCAATAAGTGACTGAACGTGACAAGAGACACATCTGAAACAATGCATCTCATTTAAACAAATATTTCAGAAATCCTCACAGTGCTTCAGTTCTTTCCAGTACCTAATGTGCCAACTGTCTTTGTGTCCTTGTGAAAGACACAAGAACTTAAAGAGCCATTATAAAATGAATGCTGACAGAAGTAATAGCAACATGAAAATATTCATATTGTAAATTATACCTTATACCGCAGTATCGCTCATTAGAAATGAGGTTGTCATGTCGGTAGCCAGTGACGTTAGTTATGGGTTCAATAATATTATTGTTTTCATTTTCTGAAAGCAGTATTCCATTTCTTAACACTTACCTAATACTACTTTTACTGAGTAATAACAGCTGTACACGGTGAGGTTACATGTCCACACATAAAAGTCTGCTGTTCCTCTTAATAAACCCTTTAATGTGAAGAATCTCAGAGGTGTTCTCTGATTGATGGTAATGTACTGTATATTGCCCCTAAAACTAATATAATAAGTCAAATATCTGTGCTGTTTTCATGGATTCTTGCAAAGTTGCAAAAATATTTTTTTTTCAAACAGGAGCAAGGCAGAGACAGAGCGTAGGCTATGCATCTGACACTGAGTTCACAGGAGTAAATGTGAAAAACTGTCAGCTTCTACCAGTGGGGGTAAATATTATTTATTCCTCAGAAATAAATAAGTTTCTAACAAAGTTTGCCTTGAGTGACAGGTTCTCACTGTTCCCAGGATAAATAGGCTGCACCTTTGTTATGGAGGAAACTGATTTGAGCTGAGAGCAAAAGAGTCTGAGCCTTGAGAGCCCCAAACATCACAGAGCTCCCTCCAGGGGGCGCTCTCAGGGACAGAGTGTTGTCTGTCAGTAGAAGAAGAGCTGTGACACATCTGGATCGGCCTCCACATTGCACTGCTCTGTACATATGGGACTCTTTACATGCCTCTCTGTTGTACTGGGATCAAAGTGCAGGAGATGCTTTTGGCTTGATTTTACAATACGCTTTAGCAAGTTTGCAGGAGAGGTTTATCTCTTCAGATTCAGGTGTAAAATGTGTTCTGCAATGTAATATTTGCTATCCATGGATACATTTAAACAGATTTTTACAACAGACATGTTCAAAATGTCAAAACATATTAATAGATTTTACATCCAAAACAAACTGGACAAAATGAGTTTGTAAACGACGTTTATTGTTGAAAAAAGTTGGGAATTTCTAGCACATTGTTCAGGTATTACAAAACAGGAGGAAAAGGCCTACAAATATTCATAATTTATACAAATACAAACAACTTTAAAAAATAAATCTTCTTAATTTAGTAAACGCTTGAGATCCCTGAGTGAATCGTCTTTTTTGACCCAAGCAATATTCAAATATAAGCACTTTTATGACAGAAGTGTGCACATTAAAGATGGCAGCTGATGGACATTTGAGTTACATTACAAAATACTGTATAAAGGACTTGTGACAAAAACAGTGTGAAACCATCAGGACTGCAACATGTCATACCCAATGTAATACAACATTTGACCTCCATTAACATTGGCCAATAATGAGCACAAATATTAAACAGGCAACGTTCCTTCTTTACAAAAAACACAGTGCCAGCTGGTTCTGTCGCTGAGGAGACCCACTGAAATAACTTAAGGACCAAAACACAAGTATACTGTATCATGGCTTTAAAATCTGACAAGACAATGGCAGGGGCACAAATATTGTACAGACTCTGAATGAGAAGGTGCCGAATCACTAAAACATGTTCATTAGACAGAATATTTACACGAGAGCTTAAGACTGAGGGAGAGGGCCGTACCTCACACACTTCAAAAACCATTGGCCAGCATTTCGTTGGCTACTTTTTTGCTGTATGGATTTATTTACATATTCTACAATATATTAAAGTCATTTATACAAAACAGATTTTTTTTTCTAAATAATTTATAAAACATTTCCCTCTGTAGTGCTATGTCTGTGCGGTAATGATGAGAGCAGAGTGTATTTGGTTCTGTAAATCCTTCATTAGTGTTTTAACTTTAGCTTCAGTCATGTGACCTTATACGGGAGATAGCTTCATAGTTCCAATAATTTCCCCCCGTGTATCCTGACATTTGCATTGCCATGGTAACCTGGCTTTTTCTCTTGTGCTATAAAGAAGCAGTAATGGGAAAAAAGCCACTTCTCTACAAACTAATAAAGAGGATTCACACATTTGGCTGTAAGGCAATGGCTTAAACTGCATTGCCAAGTGTAATCTACTTGGCCGACTCCAAACTTCCCGGAGCTATCAGAGGCTAGTGATGTATTCAAATTGGTGAATAGTCCATTCCCTTTTCATCTTTTTTCATCTTTGAAGCTACAATTTTACTGCTGATAAAATCCTTTTACAGAAAAAGTATAATTTATGTGATGCTCTGAGCACTCAAAATGGTCTTCAATTCTTCGCACAACCTCATTTGAACCGGACCGAGTCATGATGAAAACCAGGCATGGTGATCTTTCTGCACAGACTGGACAACAAAATCCCCATTTTGGACCAGAATTAATTTGCAATAAAACTGCAAATGTATCAGCCCCAGTCTACGAAAACATACTTTAGTCGACCGCGGTCCAAAAAGCTCAGCCATGCTAAGTTGTGCGGAGTATTCATAGCCTGAGGTGCATTCAGAGCTTAGCAGTGATCAGCCTCCTTTCAGACACCCTCCTCCTGGATCAGAGCAGGGGGGAGTGGGGCAATTTTAACCCAGGTCTGGAGCACACGTGGCGGGCAAGGCTCCACTCAGGGGCTAGCAGTCCTCAGGCCCTGCTTCTCCATGATGTTCCAAAGCTTGCGCAGGTTGGACTGGGTGATGGTGTCATCTGGTTTCAGCTGGAGAGCTCTCAGATAGTTAGACTCCGCCTCCTGTAGTTTCCCATTGAGATGCAGGATGGCTCCCAAATTCATGAGGGCTGCAGGGTACTGGAGAGACAGAAGAGAAGTTTGGGATGAGAAAAGAAATATCATATAGCTAAAAATGATTACAACATAATAACAAATACATAGTGGAAACATTCAGTGACACACACTATGGGGAAGTAGCCTGATTCATCAGCCAGTTTCAATTTGTGGAAACAGTCTGACCTCGCAGCATTAGGATTCGTTCGCTTGACGGTGGGCGAGCACTTTTTAAAATTCAACCAATCGCTGCTATTTGGTCGTGACGTATATAATGCGTCACTAACGGGGCTAACTGGTATATTAAGCTTTTCTCAAATCCCGTAGGAAGAAGGGCAATAACGTCTTTCCCTTTGATAAAATTCACCAAACATTCTCTTTGTTCTGGTTTTAAATCCTTGATCTCGGGAATCGTTTCCAACACAGAATGTATGGCTTCGTCTACATCCATCTCGACCACTTTGTTTACTGTTGAGCTGTACCACAAAAGGGACCCAATCATGGCTTCACAGCTCTTCACTGACTGGCTGGTGGATGGTCTACAACTTAGGGGGTTCTTGCAAACCCTCTCGTGTATTCCGATTCCTGACTGGAGAGAAATTAAATTGAGCCTGACTAGTCGGGAAGGGCATTTGACATAAAAAGATGTCAGATTTCTAAAATATTACAGAGTATAGAGCGTATAAAGCAGAGAACAGGTGTTTGAAATACAAAATAGCTTTGCGTTTCAGTACCATGCATTTGCAATTTACGATTCTTTCTCTAGGTGGTCATTTGTCACTGCTTTGACTCAAAGTACCATAAATAATTTTGTCATTTTCCATTGCCTGACTGAGACATGAGGAGTAAGATTGGTTTCCCAGTCACTCTGACCTTGTTTGTCAGATGGTGCTGGTTGCGGTGCGCTGTTTGGAGCAGTAACTATCAGTGTGCTTTGTGACCACACACGTCAGAGACAGACAGGAGCAGAGCTTTGAAGTGGCTACACAGGCTCCATACTGTATATGTCCCCGTGCAGGCACCAGGCTGAAGATCAGTCTGTGGTGGAGCTCTCAGGAGGAGCTGACGTGAGCAGAGCAGGAGCACCATCTGAATCACATTAGGCTCAAACTGGGCCTCTAATGCTGTCACCCAGACACTGACACTCTACTTTAATATGACACTCTACTTTAATATTGCACTCTTGGTAATGAAGTGTTGAAAATGTGCTTCTTTGGACCCTTACGAGCCCCATTTTATTATAAACAAAGGAAGATATTGCTTTAAGACAAGTTTTCGAAAAGGCCAAGTTAATGTAAAAACGCTACAGAGGGATTAAAGCAAGCACAATTGTGTAAGTGCATTTTTGTCATTTCAAGTAAATGAGAAAAGCTGCATCGGAGCCACTTTAGCCATTAAAACAAATCTCAAGTATACAATTTCCCTCACACTCACAAGCAGATTATAAACTGTGGTGATCTACTATTGAAATTCAAGTATAAATCTACTCTATACCATTTTTAAAATGTGTCAAAACACCTCTGCAACATTTCACTACATCTTTGCATCTGACCCATCTCTCCAACTCTTCCTACTGGTCCAGCCCTCAAAAGAAGTCCTCATTCTTCAATAGAAAGTTCCTATAATTACAATAATCCTCAAGTAAAACAAGCCCCTTCTCAGCTGCCTGTGTTTCAGTTAGACGTCACCTGAGACGCCAGGGCTCTCAACTCTAATGGACGAAAGGATCTTACATCTGTTGAGCTCATAAATTACCGGTGTTTGACCTGCCATTTCAGGTCACACCACTAATAACACCAAGGGAACGATTTGGAAGTCAGGCAAGTGTTTATATATTTGCACTTAATTGAAATTGGTACAGGAGTTATATATAAAAGAGTTCAATAGTGACACAGGGGGTTTGAGCGCTGTGCAGTGAATTTAAACTTGATCATAAGGAAGTAAGTACAAAGGCAAAAGAATAATAATAATAATATATATATATATATTTTTAAAATAAATAAAGACTGAAGATGTAATAGATTGCTTGAGCTGTAGACAACAAATAACGTACAACAATAATTTTAGTCATCTGGATTAAACAAACTCAAAAACGCACGATAACAGTATCTCAAAAAGAACACCTGAACAAGACAAAGGTCAGAACGTCTAAAATTATGAAAGTTTCAAATCAGTATTTATGGGATCAGCACATTTGTGCCCTGCGCAGAATGAACCAGTGTCTTGTAGACACCGAGTCAACTCGCCTAAATTTATGAAGGCTCAAAAGTCTAAACACAGGAGCTCCAGTACTGAGACCAATGTCTGGGACTGGAGACCAAAACCAAGAAGAGCAGCAGCTGTAGGAGGAGGTTCTGTACTCACAGTAATCCATGTGGGCAAACCTGAAACTAAAGTCCAGGACACAGAACCACCCTTTGACCCAGAGTCTGATTTCCCTAATCTTAAGAAGAGCGAGCCTAAAGTTCAACCTGAGGAGAAAAGAATTCTAGACCTATTCATCAGAAAGGCCAATCCTACCAAAGAACTTCACCTAGTCCATGAAGGCAACCTCTCCACTGTGATCAAGGTTCAGCCTTCCAGAGTGAAGACTCTGAAGGCCAAAGCTGCTGCAAACCAACACCGGTCAGTTTTGTCCAAGTTGATGAAATGGCAACACTTGCTGCACCTGTGTGGCCTGAGATCACCTTTCCAAAAAGAAAGCTCTACACCATCTCTGAGGTGGAGGATAAGACAGACTACAGCAAGGAGGAGGTCCTGGAGATGTTCCTGAGGAGACACTAAGGAGATAATCTAAAAAGAGCCCACATACATGAGACTTCTGGCAGCAGAATGCCCAATTGTGCACAAATAAATATAATGTATATAACAAGCATATTATCAGGACCATCATCTTATTATTTATGATAATGTGTTGATGATTAGATAACCAGTCCTAAACTAAATAATAAAAGGGAAAAGAGCTGTAGAGAGAGAACGGAGGCATTCAGGGGGATCAGACTTTTGGTCTAAATAACTGAAAGTATGGATTAGTGACTTATGTGGGGCTTTACACAGTATTTTTGCAGTATTGGGCTTATCATTAGTCCATCATTAGCTTGTATGACTGACAAAAGCCAGTTCCTTTCGGCAAAACAGGCATCCACTAAAAGCATTTCAAGTATTTTATCTCCTTTTATACACATAAATTAAAAAATAAAGCAGTAGATTACTACAAAAGCACAATATCAATAAATAAGACCATGAACTGATGTAATACATTTTCAAAATAACCACCTTTAAAATGTTTGATATTTTTATTGAAATTACATGGTTTGCAATGACCAAATGTCAAGTTTACACATAGCAAGATTAACAACAGTGGCATTATTACAGTAAAACTAAATGGCAGGAATGAATTAATCTACTGAACGTGTAAATATTTTCTATCCTGAGTCCTCAGCCAGCATATTTTAGTCGTAAAATGTATTTATTTATTTATTTTCTATCTCAATGTGCAAAAGAAATAATCGTTGGTCAAAAGGTAACTGCTGATTATTTGACTAGTCTATATAATAATCACCAGGTTATTCGATTACTAAAAATATTACTTGCAGCCTGGAAACACTTTTTAACAACTTTAAGGTGTTGCAGTAACAGTCCAGATGTATGCAGATGTGTTTAACAGTTTTATGAAGTCTTGGAAACACGTGAATGATGCACAAGAACCACTGATGTTTACTGACCCCGCTAAACATCACAACAGAGTCTTATAAAACACTGACTTTTCACTGACTCATCTGTGCCTCCTGCTTACCTGATCGGAGTTATTATCCCTGTTTCACCATGTTTCGGCACTTCTAAAAAGTTTTTGATTTATACTGTGGCATACTTTTTTTTTTTTTTTTTACTACACTCTCTGTACGGTACAAAAACATTCCCTTGTCAAAGCCTTTGATTTCTGCTCATTTCCTGCTGCTCTGTTACCTCTCAACCTCTGGAGCTTTCCCTAAACTGGCATGAAGACAGAGGAGGGAGCAGATGTGGAGCGGATTAGGAAGACCCGTAAAGAAACGTTAAAATGGTACAGCTTTGGGGATTTTCGAAAGAATTTTTGCATTTGTTACACATTTTAAAAGGCATACATGAAGAATGTCTTAGCAAAAGTACAGCTATAAAGGTGTTTAAATCAGCTTTTAAATCAGGTAAACTGTGAAGGATTTCAATGGTTTTCTGTTAAACTAAATAAAAACAGCAACAAAAAAAAACCTACTGAAATATTATGAAAACCATTTTTAATTTAGTTTATTATACTTTCTTCATTTTATTTAAATTATTGGCTTATTATTAGAATTGTTATGATTATTATTTATTTTTACGTATGTATTTATATACTCATATTGTAGTATGTGGTGAAGAAGAAGAAGTCAGAGAAGAAGTCAGAGAAGTTGGAGAAGTAGAAGAGGAAGTCAGAGAAGAAGTAGTCGGAGAAGAAGTGGTCGGAGAAGAAGAAGAAGTCAAAGAAGTAGTCAAAGAAGAAATTGAAGAAGTAGTTTGAGAAGAAGTCGAAGAAGAAAATGTCGGAGAAGAAGCCAGAGAAGAAGAAAAAGTAGTCGGAGAAGTAGTTGAAGAAGAAGAAGTAGTCGAAGAAGAAGTTGGAGAAAAAGTCGGGGAAGAAGTCGGGGAAGAAGAAGAAGTAGCCGGAGAAGAAGTTGGAGAAAAGTCGGAAGTCGGGGAAGAAGAAGTAGTCGAAGAAGAAGTTGGAGAAAAAGTCGGGGAAGAAGTCGGGGAAGAAGAAGAAGTAGCCGGAGAAGAAGTCAAAGAAGAAGAAGAAATCGAAATCAAAGAAGAAGAAATCGAAGAAGAAGTCGAAGAAGAAGTTGGAGAAGTCGAAGAAGTCGGAGAAGAAGTCGAAGAAGAAGAAGAAATCGAAATCAAAGAAGAAGAAATCGAAGAAGAAGACGAAGAATGTTCCTCTTTCAACATAAGCATCCATATGAATTCAATATGAAACAGTTTGTTAAGTGAAGCGTCCAAAAGCAGCAAAGCGTGAAGTGACAAACTCAGACGGACAGAGAACACAGCTACAGTCAAGTCCCATTGAGCAGAACAAAGAGAAGGCTCTGAAGATGGATGAAGCCCTAACACATGACTATTGTGCATCAGCTGTAAGCAATACAACTCACAGGAGGAGTCCAAGTGTGACTGACCATAAGGCAAGTGCGGTCAGTGTTTGGGTTTGGATCTACAGTGTTTATACAGCTATGGAGGCCAAGAAAAAGTCACATTATGATGATCCCGGTACGGCAATGAAACCATGAGAAAGAAAAACGCGGGAGGAGTTTTTGGGGGAAGAATGATCCTAAATTTAAGCTGTCTCAACATGTTTACAAAGACAATGGGGCAAGGGTAACTCATACATTATATCACTGTACAACGGTGGAAATTTACGAGCGAATACATCAGACTGTTTCGTTTGGGTTAGTGTCTACAAGTGGTCCTGAGCTAACTTTACTTGCCCTTTGTCTAAAGAAATAAGTCAGATTGGTATATTGGAAAACATTGACAGCTTGTATACAGCAGTTGTCATTAAACATTAAAAGTATGCAAAAAATAACAAATAAGTAAATACAAATGTTGCAGAATATGGGCATAATTAGCTGTAGTTACAATTCAGTTTACTATGGATTATACCAGTGAGAATTCCAATCTTGTGTGTTAATCTTGCATAAAGCATAAGTATAATCACTGTTTCATATTGTGGAATTCTAAGACTCCATGTTGTTTGTTACAACTGCATAACTCACGGCGTGTTTTTGTTTAATGCTAGTGCAAAGGTACAAACATACTATCCTGTACTACCCTATAAATTAGACTTTGTTAATGACTTTCTTTGCAAGGGATAGCTTAGTAAGCCTTGGTCTATACAAACAAACAAATCTGTTTAAAAGGAGCTTCGTTCCAGCTGATACTGTACTTACTAATAAATTGTAATCTATTTATCTATCAATTTTAGTATGGTGTCTGGAAAAAAAAGTAATTTGCTTTTATATATTTAATTTTAACTGTGATCTTAGCCAAGCGTGATGGATCAATTTAATTAATTATTTATGGAACAAAGGCATGCTGCATTAGCCTGATTCATCAGCCGGTTTCACTTTGTGGAAACAGTCTGACTTTGCAGCATCAGGATTTGTTCGCTCGACAGTAGATGGGTATTGTTTTTATTTAACCAATCGCTGCTATTTGGTCGTGACATATGTAATGCCCCAAATCCCATAAGAAGGGCAATAACGTCTTTCCCCTTGATAAAATTCACTAAACATTCTCTTTGTTCCAGCTTTAAATCCTTGATCTCGGGAATCGTTGCCAAAACAGAACATATGGCTTTATCTATAACCATTTTGACTTCTTTGTTTACTGTTGTGCTGCACCACAAAAGGGACCCAGACAGGCACTTGAGTTTGATGTCATGGCTTCACAGCTCTTTGCTGACTGGCCGGTGCGTGGTCTACAACTTCCGGGTTCTTGCAAAATGTCTAGTGTATTCCGATTTCTGACCTAGTCGCTGAAGAGAAATTAAATTTAGCGGAGGCAGTAGGTGGCGCCAGCCATGCTAATGCTGCACTGGAGCACTGTAACACTGTAATTGTGTTTTTATACGTGTTTATTGTACATAATGTGGATGGATGAAATGTGAAATTTGGGACCAGCCTCTTGAATTTACAAATTTACATACGGGTACGAATAAAGCAACCTAACCTAACCTAAGCACTCATATATAAAAGGTTCTATGTTGTACAAAACTGACTCTTGTAAAATTTAATCCATGTTAGAATGTCGTTACCTCTGCAAAAACATATCCAGAGTTATGTTTTGTTTCATTGACATATGTTTGAGTAACTATTATTAATCTGTCCACATCCTAACTGAGCAGGGTTTGTGTGTAAAACGTATGAATGAAACAAAACACAACTCTGGGTGTGTTTCTGATGAGGAAACAACATTATAACAGACCAGAAAATAGCGTAATATAGGCCCATTAACCTAAGTTCATCATTTGTGTGTGTGTTTTTTTTAGTCACTGAATCTATCCTGAAGCCCCAACATTATATTTAATTTTATTTGGCCAAACCACAAAAACAAAACAAGTAACCACCTGAATAACCAGTGGCGTAACCTGTGCCCCGTGAGCAGTCACTTGGAGCAGTCGTGTGTGGAGCTAGAGCCCTTCATTTTCAGGATGTCAGCGCCTCTGACCAGGGGGTTATTACCATTATTCTTTCCAATCTGCTCACTCTGCCTGAGCTTTGAAGTCACTGATGGATGCTGCACAAACACATCTCAGAGCTTAGTGCAAACTAGCCCTCATTTCTCTGCCTGGCCCTCCACAAAGAGCCCCATTCAGGCCAGTAATAAGGAGGGATTACTGCACAGGCCAGGCACTCTGATTGCTCTTATGACAGTAAACAGCAACAATTAGGAGCTTGTGATTTATCAGGGTAAAAAATAAAATAAAATACAGACTTCTTGGTGGTACACGTTGAACCTCACCAACCTTACATTACCTTTGAATAAAAAAACAACTGAAGTTATATCTTGTAAAAGGTTTGTGACAAAGGCCTTTGCTTTGGAACTGCTGTTTATTATTATCTTTTTTTTTTATTTACCCATGATCACGTATAGATATTATTTAAAGATGCACAATGTAACTTTTGAGTCTGCTGGTTTGAAATGTTTCACAAAATTACCTGAAACATATCTATATCCTACATCCAGGCCAAGTTACAAACCAGATAAGTGGAGATGCTGTAGAGAGGCAGCTCGTAGAAACAATGCATGTTTTTCAAGGTGTCTTTCCAGGAATTAAAACACCTAAAATCAGTGGTGTAGTTAGGATTTTTTAAGTGGGGGATTCGTGACTAAACCAGGACTGAACCAAGACCGAACCAGGATTAAACCAGGTCTAAATCAGGATTAAACCAGGACTAAACCAGGACTAATCTCCTCAAAGTGCGAATGGGCAACAGCAGCGCATAGCCCCGTGGGGGGCGGAGCTTTGTGCCAGTCTTTTTGCCTGCGGTCACCTGAAGGTCTACGCGGGCGCACCTCCGGACCAGCCCCAACCCTCATTCCTGGTTTATTTCTGGTTTAGTCCTAGTTTAGACCTGTTTTAGTCCTGTTTTAGTCCTGGTTTAGACCTGGTTTAGACCTGGTTTAGACCTGGTTTAGACCTGGTTCAGTCCTGGTTCAGTCCTGGTTCAGTCCTGGTTCAGTCCTGGTTCAGTCCTGGTCCCTCACGTGGCAGGTCACTATAGGACAGTAGTGCAGATATCATGAGCCTATGCAGGTTGTTTTCACCATTGCCAGAAGCTCCGGTTTGACATTTAGTTGTAGCTCGGGAGAAGTGGGTGGACGACGTAGCCCCATGTACCATGCCCACTACACACCGTAAACACAGGTAGGTGGCAGAGGGTTATCAGAAAAGTCACATGGTACACCTTTTACAGGTTTTATCCATAGTAGTATTTGTACATATTAAAAAAAACAAAAACACTGAGTTGCTTGTACTTACATCCGGCCTGAGAGTGGCTGCTTGTCCGTAGTACTTTTCGGCTGCTTCGTTTAGACTGGCTTGTCTGTGAAGAAAACACACAGAAGGAGCTTGTCATTTTTCATCTTTACTGCAGCTGGCTACAGGCCTTGGACTCTGCTCCCCAGTGCTCAGGGTCAGTGGGAAAGAACCACCACCAAACAGAATAAAAATGAGGAAAGATACAAAAATAGAACAGGTTTCCCACAGTTCTCTGTTGGATTGGATCTTGGCAAAGTCTGACCTTGAAATATGTGCGGTTAATTAAACTGAAAGTCATGTAAATCAAGCAGATGGTTATCGCAACATTTGCTATAAGTGCTGCATTTTAGCAAGAGAAACTGTGTAAATACTATTAAAACATGGATCATTATTATTTAAAAGGAAGTTTTAGGGTTCATAAAAAATAATAAAGTAATCGATGACAGGGATGGAAAAGGACAAAACTGAACTTTTCCTGAGTGGTTTTAAAATAATCTAAATCAGTGGTCTCTAGCCTGTAGGTCAGGAGCTACCAGTAGCTCTCCAAACTATTATAAATAGCTCGCCAAAGAATTTCTGAATTACATATTAGACTGAACATCTCAAATTTGATTAATTACCATAGTAAATGAGTTAATTTGAACTTTGTACACTAATAAATGGATATTGGATTTATGTTTTAAAGACATCTAACTGCACTAACATCTACGGCTTACCCTCTTATATTCACTCAATTTCTTGTGATCGCTAAAATGAGTAGCTCTCCGGCATTTTCGTTTTCTAAAGGTAGCACACGTGATGCAAAATGTTGGAGATCCCTGATTAGGGGTGTGCAAAAATATCGAAATCGCATCGTTTAATGTGATGATACAGTATTGATATTGTGGCCTGCTATATCGATATATCGACACAGCTTTTGGTAGATTTTACTAAATTTTTTTGTTACAGCGCTACAGTTTTGTTGCTTGTTCAGAGGAAAGAAATTCGTTCATGTGACACATTTGACATATTCACTGTTTTGTTGATTGAATTGTGTGTGTTTCATATTAACTTTGCACAATATATGGTTTAACTTTAACTTTAAGACTTTTAGTGTCACAGCCATGATTTACAAATAATTTTTTATTGAACCATATCGAATGGATTTGAAATATATCGTGTTGAATCGAAAGCTCACTGTATCAAGATATGTGTTGTATCGTGGCCTATGTATCGAGGTTTATATCGTATCAGCAACGTCTTAATGATACCCAGCTTTACCCCTGATCTAAATCTATATCAGAATTACTATAAAACACATTCTGATATAAAATAAACTACACTAGAAAACACCAACACATTTTAGCTATAAGATATCAATATATTATAAATAATAATTGATTTATGTGTCTTTAGTCAAACTGCCAAAGTATGAACCCAGTTGAATTTTGCCTTGAGTAAAGAGAGCAGTGCCTTCTCTGTACCATGTGGTTTGTTTTTAGCAGATGGTGAATCACCACGAGTCCCTGCAGCACGGACCTGAGCCTGCACCTGTCACATCCCAGTGTTTTCATCTCTAACACCCCACGGCGCCTCCTACTGTCTGTCAGCTGCTAATACACATAATACACGAACACTTTACAGTCCAGAACTGCTGGGCTCCAGAGACCACTGCAGGCCACTCAAACAGTTTTAGTCTGAGAAAGTCAAGGACACGGAGCGGGGGGCTGGGGTGGGGGATCAAAGCAAGTGTGGCTCTTTCATTTAAGCTGTCGTCCGCTCCTATAAGGGATCATCCACATGCTCAGGATATAAGGCCCGGCTTTCTTCTTCTACAGGGCACAGGTCACAGGCCCAAGACCAAACACAGCTATAAACGCCCCCAGTGAGTCTTTGGCACGCAAGTCCAGCTGCTTATATTGCTTTTTATACATTACACAATATCAGCAATTATTTTAACAATCATTATTATTCCACCATAAATGGTTCCACAGCCTGAAATAATGAACCACGAAAATCATCACCCCTAACCTTCAGGGACTGGCCAAAGTAGACATTTGTTTTATTATTATGGTTTTGTTACAGTTGCTTTATTGTTTTATTTTTTGTTGTTTTTCATTGTCACTAAACTTTGAGCAATCTGTAACTCATTTAGTAATTTAGTAATCTGTTTGGGACTTTGAGACACATATACACAAATATTTGCTCCATTGGTTCATATAAACCTATCTTGAATACACAGCTAGAATTTATGTTTTGGGTCAAAGTTTCTCTTTTCCAAACAACTACTTTAAATTCCTGCATGGATCCAAGTACAGGGCTGTAGCTGAATTTGTCCAGACATTATAAATGCGGCCTCTCGTCCAGCCACAAACACAGGCCTGTTTGCCAACACAAGTATTCAGAGAGATCCAGCTTCAGGGCAAGAATGTATGTGCCATTCTAATGGGATAATGTCATTATCACATTTAACAACACATTATCAGAGCGACTGGACTGTGTCTAAGCTGAGGCCAAAGAGCACTGGTCTCACGATGGAGTATGTGTTTGGGGCGGGACAAGACAATCCAGGAGAGAGGGGGAGTCATGAGGGTAAATAGTCTGAATTTATGTCATCTTGTAATTGAACTTCAGTGGTGGAACGCAACAAAGTAAAAATAGTAAAGTACTGTACTTAAGTATAAATTTTAGGCATCTGTACATTACTGAAATAGATTTTAAGGTGGATACTTTTCACTTTTACTTCACTATATTTGAGAGTAGGTGCCTGCACTTTCTACTCCACTAGACCTGCTGAAATGGCTGAGGGTTTATTTTTAACACATTCATAGTTTAAACAAATGCAAATATACAAATAAAAACAGCTAGTAAAAAAAAAAAAATCTATAAATTTGTATCTGTCGAGCAATATTCAGCACAAATCTTTAAATACATTTTTAAAAGTGTAATTTAATACTTTTACTTATTTACTTAAGTAGATTTTTTGATGTGATATATATGAATATAAACTACTTTCTACAACTATTTTTGCAAAAATTTTACTTTATGTACGTTATGGTGACAAGACATCAGAGAGAAAGAACTAAACTGTATTTCTACATAAAGAATATTTAAGAAAGTGTTTAGGTTTAAACAGCAGATGCATGGCCCATCTGTCTCCATCCCACAATCACATTTTGGAGATTGGCCTCGGTCCACTGCACACAGCTTCAGCCGGAGGGACTCCTGATGTACTGTCTGCTACCAGCTCATGTTATTACCCACTATCAATTCAAAGCAAATTACACATTTAGCAACCACTGGGGAAGGTAAAAACACTGAATCTGACACAGCTAACGTCGTGACATGCCACTTACGCAGACTAATACCTCACATAAGAGCCTCTATAAAACATGTGCTTCCAATAGAAACATTTATGACTGTGTAATGTATTTTAACCATTACTTCCTCAAGAAAAGAATAAATCCCCCACACAAGTCATATTTACAAGTATGAACTTGGCACACTGGTCTCACTGTCTTTCATGCCCTCTCTGTCCACATGAACCAGCTTCTCTGCAAAATATATAAATTATCCTTAAAATGATGGGTTTGGTGAAAATCCCAAGGACCCACGAGTATAATAATAGACATTTGCACATCTAAGAGGCCGTATTCTTTAGAATCACTTTTGTCCCTCCGACAGAGAGCCTTTCCACTGTGGCCTCCAAAGCAAACATATAAAGATCATGAGCCATGGAGGAGCGCAGAGAGAGGAGCCCATGCCAGGAGCCAGGGAGGGGGTCGAACACATGCTGCTCCAGCCTCTGCCCCACTGTGAGGGGCTCAGATACACACAGTGTGAGGGGCTCAGATACACACAGTGTGAAGGGTTCAGATACACACAGTGTGCGGGGCTCACATACACACAGTGTGAGGGGCTCAGATAGACACAGTGTGAGGGGCTCAGATAGACACAGTGTGAGGGGCTCAGATAGACACAGTGTGAGGGGCAAAGAGAGGCTGGAGATAGACACAAGTGTGGGGTAAACAGGCTCTGGATTGCTCCTTTTGTGACCAGAGAAGGGCTGTAATATCAGATCTATAAGAGCTTACTTTTTGTTAGAGACCCCACATGGAGTCATTACGCCTTTTTATATTTTTAGGTTTTGACTTAACATTCCCAAAGTAGGGAACAGCTATTGCTTATTTATTTTTTTGAAGTAGCTGAGCTGTGTTCAGTTGGCTGATTAAAAAAAAAAATTAAATAAATAAATAAATACACACAGACTTTGTACAGACCCCACTGACTATATATTGATGCAGGTTTATAAGAAATATCAGCACAAATACCTTTGTCTTTTACACTGTTGGAGTCCCAGTTGTCAGTCATAAAAAACACAGAAGTGTATGACACAGTGTAACAGTGTAAGGAGCTTTAGGCGACTGCTGAAAGATTGGCTGACAGAAAAGGACTAAAGGACTAAAGGACACATCCATCAGGGAGGTTACAATAAAAAAATAAGGACATGTTCTATAAATGCAGGTTTTAAAACATTTGGTTAAACACTGGTTTAGCACATTTTTTGCAAAAAACAGATAAATAAATGACAAAATAAGGAACAAGCGATAGAAATGAGCTTTAGTGTTAATCCTGCATATTTATTGATGGATGTTTGTACACGTTTACATAAGTTGTTATGTTATGCCATTTCTAGAAGATGAACTTCATATTTGTACAGATGGTCACTTTGTCTTCACTTCACACACTCTTAGAGTAACTGTAATCTGTGGTCACAACTCACATCTGTATGAAGACACAGCGCTAACACAGCCCAGGCTCTGGAGCTGGCTCTGCTGTGAGGAGAGGATTACTCTAAATCATGAGGCTGAGGACTGTTGTAAGCCTGGGATAAAGCTGCAGACTGAAGACCTCCCTCTCTCCTTAGCCCTGGAAACTACCCAGGCCCACCCATCTCCTCCTCACTGTAAATGACCAAAGCCCACCCATCACCTCCTCACTGTAAATGACCAAAGCCCACCCATCTCCTCTCTCACTGTAAATGACCAAAGCCCACCCATCACCTCCTCACTGTAAATGACCAAAGCCCACCCATCTCCTCCTCACTGTAAATGACCAAATCCACCCATCTCCTCCTCACTGTAAATGACCAAATCCACCCATCTCCTCCTCTCACTGTAAATGACCAAAGCCCACCCCATCTTATCTACACTGTAGATCTGTGGTTTTCAAACTGTCAATTTAGTTTATATTTCTGTCTGCCTTTAGTTTAGACCTTGTTTAGAACCAATAGTGTGTGTATTTCTTTCAAGTCCTGGTTTAGTCTCAGCTTAGACCTAGATTGGACCTCTTTTGACTTGGTTTAGATCTGGTGGTACTGGATGAGAAAAGTTTGAGAACCATTGACCAAAGCCCACCCATCTCCTCCACACTGTCAATGACCCCTGTGCGTAGACCTCATCATTTCCCAATCAGCCTCACCTGAGCATATGGGCGGCACTGAAGACCACATCAAACTCTCCACTGTCGAGCTGAGCTGCTTTCTTGGCCATCTCTGCCGCTTCCAGCCCCCGAGACTCCTCCAACAAAAACTGACCTGGAAGCACCGGGACAAACTGTGAGGGAGAGGCCTGAGCAAAGACAGAACTCACTGAAACTTTTTCAGGACACAGAAACTTTCCAAAGATGATATATAGCACACGAAAGCTGGCACACATGATATGGGATTTTGTGCTTTTGTAGTGTAATAAATCATGACAAAGTTTACTGAGGTGTTTCAAGGTATTTTTAGGTAACAGATTTATGAAAAGTCTAAAATTACAATATAAAACAAAATAATTTATGTGTATCTGGAAAACAGTCGCTCAGGTGTTTAAAGAGGTGCATTGTGTAACTTTTCTGGTGGCAAATCAGTCAAATTCTTTGGACAGACAGTATGTAGTATTTTACAGTATGGTATTAAACCTTTCTATCATCATGAAGAAGAAACCAGACCACGTTACAGGTCACATCTGCGGAGAGGAGACCCCGCTCATAGTGGCTGTTTTTCTAGGTGTTTTTGACTTATAAAACCACTTGTGTTTGATTACATGCAAGGTAAAGCTGTTTAATATCATACTGTGGAACATTTCAGGCAGAGTAATGACATATCAGCAGAAACAAGCAGGTGACAGACCCTCCATCAGAAAGTTTACACAGTGCACCTCATACCAACACTATGGTTCTACTCAATTTACCTCTAAACCTTTACAGTATACACTCAACATTCCCATTATTTCTGGCCATCTCTGAGAATAATTTGTCTAACCACAGCAGACCTGTTATTGTAATATAAAATATCTCTCACAGGAAATAGGCCTTATGAGGAGCATGGCTGCAGTTCAACCACGCCTGGACCAGTCTCACGAGGAGATCAGGAGGACAAGAAGTGGCTCAAACACGTCAGGTTTAAAGAGTCATTATGTGGTGTTGACTTTGGTCAGCTTCACCATTGCACCACATCAGATATTATCCAAGGCAAACCAAGACCTGGACTAAAACCTGGACCAGAAGTGAGACCAAAGGAAACACTGCACCTGATTAATCTTATGTACAGAAAGCTTACCTGAACAATACGTCATACCTAGGCCTGTCACGTTAATTACTGTATCGATTTATTGTTCAATACATGAAAGTTGGAACAGTATATTTTGAGGCCTGTCTGTACAATATCTTTGCAATTGTGGGTATTATTTTTTTTTTATATTATGAGAAGATTTGAGCTGTAAAAGGCTGAATAAATTAGCCAGGCTGGCGCTACCTGGTGTCTCAGCTCAATTTCATTTCTCTCCAGTGACTAGGTCAGGAATCGGAATACACAGACAGTTAGCAAGAACCCCGGAAGTGCGAGTTTGGTCATCAGCCAATCAGCGAAGAGCCATACATTCTGTGTCGGCAACGATTCATGAGATCAAGGATTTAAAGCTGGAACAAAGAGAATGTTCGATGAATTTTATCAAGGTGAAAGACGTTATTGCCCTTCTTCCTATGCGATTTGGGAAAAGTTTAATATACCAGTTAGACCCCCTTAGCAGCACATTACATACATCGCGACCAAATAGAAGGGATTGGTTAAATGAAAAAAGTACCCGACTACCATTGAGCGAACGAATTCTAACGGTGCAAGGTCAGATGGTTTCTACGAAGTGAAACCGGCTGATGAATGAGGCTATGAATAAATAACTTGTATGGCTAATTATCAGTTCATTCTGTTTTCATTTTTCCAGCTCATGCCACTTAATGATACTGTATATTTGTAAACGACTTACTGGGATTATCCTGCTTTACTGTTATTGCATCAGTGGCAACAAGTCATATACATATATACAAAATTATCATTTATCATGGTATTTCTCTGCAGAAATATATAGTGCTTCAAAGTTTGCTACCGTGACAGACCTCCTTATGAGCCCCCTTACTTTTGAAAATCAATAGTCCTCATCTGATCTCTAAGTGGGACTTTAACCTTTAATATGGTGCCAAATAAGACGTATAGGAGTGTTTCCAGCAGCAGATGAGCCCCTGACCTATTGATCATCTAAATGTCATTGTGTTAGGAGCTGACAGATCACTGCAGAATACAAGGTGCAGTAGAGGGACAGTGATGGAAGATAGACCTTTAAAGAATGCATCATAATTATCTAACCAGCTTTTAGAATAATAATATTTCATAGCTGCTGCAGGGGAATGATCAAATTACCATGTTCTGCTGTGTCCACCAAAAAAGGAAGTTATTCTACTAAAAGAGATCTGAAAAGTCCATAGTTTTTTTTTTATGTTTAATTAAGTTAAAGGTGCATTGTGCAACTTTTCTGCTTGTTTCTATGGTAATCCCATTGCTGTACCTGGAATGTTTCACACACATCAGACAGCTCTACCTTACATTTATTCAATTACAGTGGTTTCATTGCAAAGAAATGATAGAAAAACAGGCATTCTGACTGTGAGCGGGGTCGCCTCTTCACAGATCTGAACTGTAACCTAATCTGGTTTGGTCTCCATGAAGATAGAAAGGTAAAACACCATACTGTAAAATATTCCAGACAAAGCAATAACATCTCCATGGAGAAAAGGATTTGACTGACCCTCCACCAGAAAAGTTACACAATGCACCTTTAAGTATTGAACACCTCTTGATGCCTATAATAAATATTCACTAGCTAGGACCACGCCAACTACAACATAGTGCGAAGAAGTTTATTGATAATGTACGAAGCGAGGCAGAGATGGCTGGGTTGAGACTATGGGTGTGGGCTCCGTCTCAATCTGCAATTGGCCCAGCCGGAACAGGACCCCCGTTGTAGGGGTCTTATGACTGAAAGACAAAATAGGGGATGGGAGGGTGGGGTCGACTTAGCCGAGACAAACTGGGATGATGGGAAAGGCTGCTACATATAGGCCTCTGGGAAATTAGAGGCGTGGTCGAGGTGAGTTGTGGTTCGCTGGTGAGAGGAGAGGGCAGATGAGGCGTGGTCCTGCTCCTGAATCTCAGTTAATCATATTAACTACATTAAATTTAAAAAAGCATGATGACAAATTAAAACACAAAAAAAGCCTATGCAAAAAGTAAAAACATTCCACTGAGAAACATACAGCACAGATTCAATTTGTCTTTCAAATCCAGTAATGAAAGAGCACACCAACTTGACATAGCTAACAAGTATTATTACATATTACAGATTTATAGAGATCATCTGTGCTGTTATGTTGGTATTTAGACAGAAAACACTTGGTCATGCAGTAAAACGTAACATGTAAAATTACCGTAATGCATGTAGCAGTTGCCCTTCGTGGGATCCAGCTGAATGGCCTTGAGGAAGTAGCGCTCGGCTTCTGTTTTCTGGCCCTGAGAGAGACACATTACACATTGTCATTATTATTTCAACCAGTCATTCTCAAAACAACACAGCCAAAATACACCGGAGTATACGCTACCAGTCAAATGTTTGGACACATCTTCTCATTCAAAGTTGTTTTAAATGTTTCTTACAACTTTTTACATTTTAGACATCAGAAGACATTCAATATATGAACCAGGATATATGGAATTATTTAGTAAACAAAAAAGTGAAATAACTCTGCCACATTGCAAAAAGTAATATCTAAAATGACTCAAATTAAGAATATTTAACTTGATCTGAGTGTTTTTTTTTTTAACTCAAATAACATATATGATTTTGTTTCTTATTTTAAGTACAAAGAGTTGTTTCTATTATTTTCAGTGTAACTAGGTGTATTTTCCCATTTCAAAAACAAAAAGACTTGTTCCACAGTTAGATCATTTTATTTGTCATGCTTTTTATTCGAGTCATTTTAACCTGGCAAGATTTTAATTTTTGTAGTGTCTTTTTTTTTTTTTTTTTTTTGACAAAGCAAAGGGTGGCTAATTTGAGGATTTGGTTATAAAATTTACAAAAAAGTTATTAACATATTAACTTTTTTTGTTCTTTGCTACATAATTTAATTCATTTTATTTTATACATTTGATGTGTTCTGTATTTAAATAAAATGCAAGAAGTAGTAAATATATAAAAAAAAAAATTAATTAATAATAATGAATGAATGAGAGGGTGAGTCTAAACTTTTGACTGATAGTGGAGGAGCTAAAGGAAGAAAAACATAAGCAAAACAAATTGTAATACATAATTTGCTACATAATTTCATACATTTTACTTCATATAGAAAATAATACTAAACATATAGGAAAAAACAAAACAAAACTGAACAAGCGAGTGGGTCCAAACTTTTGACTGGTAGTGTACCTCGTGTCCCTGTCCAAACCACACTCCTCCTCTAAAATAAATCCTAATGAAGAGACTCCAAACACAGTGTCCTGTTATTCTTACAGACGGTCAGAGTGCACATGTCTACAGCTCATTTATTACACACTTTTATCAGTGCAGAGACACTTCAGGAGCACAACCACAGAAGAAGTCGTCTGTGTACGTGTGTGTGGGGCCCCACCGCATGAAGACAGGACAGAGGATTGTGGGAAAGAAGAGGAGAGGGAAACAAGAGGTCAGCAAAAGAAAATATGAAAGAACCACAGGAACTTAGTAAGGGCCCAGACATGTTGTACGAAGCTCAAAACCATAATTTTAAAAAGTTCTATATTACACAAAACTGACTCTTGTGAGTTTTAAGTCATGTTATACTGTTGTTACCTCATCAAAAACATACCTGGAGTTGTGTTTTGTTTCATTCACACATGTTTGAGTAACACTTATTATTTGTATTAGTTTATTATGAAGCTATCAGTTACCTTATTAGCATTTGTTCAGTACAGACTGGATAATTTCAGCCCTGGATTTGCTAAATGATGCGAGTGAAGGTGTATGGAGTTTAAAAACACAGTGGAGCACTTCCTATATTACCACATGACATCACAAGGTGGAACACATTTTAAATATGCAGGGTTGTGTGTTAAACATGTGTGGATAAAACAAAACACAGCTCCAGGTATTTTTTATGATGAGGAAACAATGTTATAAAATGTTCTGAAAATAACATAATCCGAGCCCTTTAAAGTCTAGTTATTATTTCATGTTCGATGTTAAAGGCAGAACTCTTCATACAGTGAAATCCCAGATGGTCTTTTGACAGTCACACTTAACCAATCACAGCTCACACAGAACGCAGCAGCTGGCCAATGAGAGAGCCAGCTGGGACTGGCACCATATGGCATCTGATCAACAATTAACAAAGAGCACTCAACTAGAACTGGAACAATACTGCAATTAAGAACAATAGCACGAACCCAGACTTTGGAGAAAGAAGTTTAGAAGTAAAATTTTGTCAGTTTAAATGTCATAAGCCTTAATGATGTTTCTGCAAATGACCTACTTAAGTTCAACTGAGGAACAGGCTTGAGTCCAATAAGTGAGTGCTACATATATGTTAATGGTACATGAGGGTAGCGATGCTGGCGCCACCTAGTGCCTCCACTCAGTTTCATTTCTCTCCAGCGAATAGGTCAGGAATCAGAATACACTATATGGTTTGCAATAACCCCAGTAGTTGTAGACTGCGCACTGGTCAATCAGCGAAGAGCTGTGTAGAAATGACGTCAAACTCAAGTGCCTGCCTGGGTCCCTTTTGTGGTACAGCGCAACAGTAAACAAAGTGATCGAGGTGGATGTAGAAGATGAAGCCATACATTCTGTGTTGGTAACGATTCCTGAGATTGAAGATTTAAAGCCGGAACAAAGAGAATGTTTGGTGAATTTAATCAAGAGGAAAGACATTATTGCCCTTCTTCCTACGGGACTTGGCGCATTACATACGTCATGACCAAATAGCAGCGATTGGTTAAATAACAATGGTTTCCACAAAGTGAAATCGGCTCATGAATCAGGCTAACGTGAGGTAAGCTGGCAACTAAATTTAAAGGTGCACAGTGTAACTTTTCTTAGAGGGACCGTCGCCTGTTTCTTTCCATGTAGATGTTTCCTGGAATGTTACACAGTATGGCATTACACTTATTTATCTCTACAGAGACACCAGCCGATGCGATAGGGCCAAATTACTTGCCAGATCTGCGGAGAGGCGAGCCCAGTCACAGTAAGAATGCAAGTCAACAAAATAATGTTACTGAGTAAATGTAAGATGGATTTGTTTAATGCTATACCAGGACACCAATATCGCCATGGAAACAAGCAGATGGCATAACTTCCACTACAAAAGGTACACAGTGTACCTTTAATATTAGAACTGCAACAATTAATCAGAATAATCATGACTAATTGACTAATAAAATAACTAACTAACATATTTTGACTGTATTTAATTATCATCTACAATACTTTATTCATGAATATTCCCTTTAGTCAACACATTTCAGCCTTTATATGATTAGAAATATATTCAAATCTCAATGATAAACATAAAAATTTTACACAAAAGAAGCAATCAGAGCCCTATCGAAAGAACACACATCTCACACATTCAGAACGTAAGCATTAGAAGACCACCCGGACTCATCAGATCTGTGTTTATAAAGCCCCCAGATCACACTTCACGCTCAGAGGAATTACAGTTACAGACAGAGTATAAAGGAGCATAATTACTCCATGCTTGAGTGCAGTCAGCGCATCAAATTATTAGACATTTCTCATCCTTTATTTGAAAAGAGGGAATGATGTGGCTAATCCCAGGTGTGGCACTACTTACTGTATGTTATATATTATATTACATTATATTTTATGACAGCTCATTATTGGAGCAGTTAGAGGCTGGCCGTGTTCCTCTGAGCCAGGTGGACGTCTGTGTGAAAAATAGTAGGAACAAAGCACTGCAGACCACAGGAGGAGATTAGTTGGTATTTCGCACATATTAAACAGTAAGTCATAATAAACATATTATATAATAGTTTAGAATGGTGTTACTTTCTTTTAGTTTATGCTGTCAAATCACAAGTTGGGGAAAAAAAAAAGAAAGAAAAAGAAAAAAAGAGCCCATATTACATTATGTTCTAATCTATATCAATGTTTTTTCCTCATCACAAACATACCTGGAGTTGTGTTTTGTTTCATTCACATATTTAACAGAATAGTCTTTGTTCCACCTTGTGGGGGCATGCGGTAATACTCTCCATATACAGTACATTCACTAGAATCATTTAGATAATTTCAGCCTTTGATTGCAAATGTCTACTGAACTAAAGGTTAAATGGTAGCTGTTAACTTGAAAAATACCATTACATGACATCACAAGGTGGAACAGAGCATTTTGAGCTTTGGACATGTTTTTGTTTACATCAACCCGCATAAATACACCATCGAGTGCCATCATAACTATGCCAAGCCTCTGGGCGGCACCTGGATTAGATTCAAACCTGTAGCTTTTATTTAATTACAGTTGTAAGTATTACTCAAAAATACCTTGAAAAACCTGCATTACTGAGCGGGCTTGCCTCTCCACAGATCTGTTAAAGAAGTGGAAAAATTGTTGACCTCCGAGCCTCATTCGTCTCTGGTCATGGATTTGAAACATCAGCTGTGTGTGCAAATACAAACACATGAAAAGTTTACACCAGAAGAAATGCGAGTGGTGCTCTGAATGCTTCATGATCATCATCAGAGCAAAAGGTGAACATTGGTCACACTTTCGACGCGTCAGCTCCGAAAACTCAGTTTATCTCACTTTACACGCAAAAGCCAAACTGTAGTTTCCCAGAATCCTCACTCTAGCTGAAGTTTTTAGAAAGATTTGTTTCAGAAGCGAATTTGTGGTTAAAGATGTGTACAAACAAAGGGAAATGTCTCAGTTTTTAAAAATACCAGTGTACGTGTTAACGGGGCCTAATAATAAAGGATTACTCAAACATGTGTGAATGAAACTAAACATAACTCCAGATGTGTTTTTGATGAGGAAACAACATAATAACATGGCTTAAAGTTCACAAGAATCCATTTGTGTAATATGGGTCTTTTAAGTGCACCAGGTGCTTCTCCAGGACAAGCAAATAAAAGATCAGCCTCTTACTGCAGTAGCACAATGCATGTCACACAGGGCTTGAATAAAGTGTTCGAGGCACACTGATTACAAAAATAAAAGTCCTTTATTCTTACAAATAAATGGGACACCAAATTCGTAGGCGACCCATTTACCCTGTGTGACATACCTTGTGCTCCAACAGTAAGTGGATGATCTTGTAATTTAATAAAGTAACTGGCTTCGGAAAAAGTGGGCATTTCAAAACTAGTACCATTGACTTCCTTCAAGTTCAAAGTACATGCACTGAACGCATTTAGAATAAACACTGAAGTCGACGTAATATTTCTTTAGTCATATCTCTGTTGTAATCTTTTTTATCTGCTTTCCTAATTTTATTTCATACGTTGGTTT